AATCGCCCTTGATTTGATCTGTTCCGGAATTTTCGCCGTGATCTTTGACCGGTTACGGATATCTCGCCTTTCCGTTATTGCGCTTCGTTCGAAGTCATATTTGGTCTCGATCGCTGTTGGCCTCGACATCGGCGAGCACCTCGATTCTCGAGCCCGATACCTTATCTTCGTGCCCTGGCCTGATCCGTTACGAGGCGGACCATCGACGTGATTCCCTGATCTCTCGGGCAAGCCCTATTTTAACCGTACACAATGTTAAACTATGCTTTCATATTATTCCAGTTATGTATATATAAAAAAGAGAAATCGCATAGAATAATGTCTATCTTGCTTGTCTCATTACAACTATATATTATATCATCATTCAATGAGTTAGAGGGCTCACATCTTATATGTCATGTATTTTAGATTTAGGAGCGACAAACTAACTAGAGGTTTGAGAATAGACATTAAGTTAGCTGCTCTAGAAAGTCCGAGTTAAGTGGAGGTATTATCTATATTTTGTTTAAGTATTTGACATTAACAATTATATTAGGCATTTTAGAGGTTCTTTGTGATTATATAATAGAAAAATGACATTATATAGCCGCTCTCAAAATAATAGCCGAAAAAATGTATATTTTTTTTTGTCTACATTTTGTATGTTATATACAAAAATTATATAACTTTATACACTTTTTCGACTATCGAATATAAATAGTTTATGACGTGGGCTAAAGATGATAATGCCCCTTATATTACTGATATCATTATTTGTTGCATATGTTGGTAATGAGTTACGAATTTACGCCTATGTATATAAGTGCGTGTGAATATTAGCGTTTGAACATATCGGTTTAGTGGGTGAACCCATTAAATACTATTACAATCCTTTATTCTTAATTGTGACAAAAGTAATAATCGTAAAAACTTAAAGTAAATACACATTTAAATGATGTGTATTGTTTTCTTTATTATTGTTTAATAATCAAGTACTTTTGCCTTTTGTTATAGTCATATACAACAATCAAACAAAAAAAAATTACTCATTGATCAATTTAAGCTAAAAATCAGTCCAACTTTAGATGAGCTGAGATGAGCTAGGTCAAGATGGGATGAGCTCAATAAATAGACGGGTCAATGACTGACCCAACCGTGAGTAAGCTGGGCGGATTAAATGGGCTTGTGCTCAAATTGCCACCTCTAGTTTCAGCTTTCTCAATACATGCAAATTCTTAAAATAATGAAGAATTAACCTAAATAGTCGTCAACCTAATCGCTTAAACTAAAAATAACCAGCGGGTATATATATATATATATATATTGACTAAAAAGATTAATACTTAATACGGCAGGTTATTTGTGTAAAGATTCCTAAACTGATTTACACATATTACAACAACAACAAACCTAGTATATTCCCACAAGTAGGGTCTAAATTACCTAGTGGATGTAGAGAGGTTGTTTCCAATAAACCCTCGGCTTAGAAAGAGTGAGAAGAAGAAGAAGAAGAAGAAGAAGAAGAAGAAGAAGAGAGAGAGAGAAGGGGGAAGAAGAAGATAAGAGAGAAAATTGGAAAAGGGGGGGAGGGGGAGAATAAGTAGTACTAATCTATTTTATATATTTTATTTTACTTTTACAAAAATTTTACCAAAAAAAGGAGTTCTAACAACAGGAAATACGACAACAAAAGCGAACTAGATCACATGACGTAATAACGATCTATTTAAGAATATGCAGGAACATGAGTGCTACTAAATTAACTGGTAAGAAAACTAGAAACTTACAACCACCTACTAACTTTCTACCCTTACTTCGACCTCCACACCTTCCTATTGTATGGGTCAGAATCCGATCTCACGGTAATTAACGGAGTTAATCTCGTCTTGAGCTAATCCATAATTAATAAGTGGTACGGCCACTTATTCATAACAGGATTCGACTCTTGTCCGATATAATCTACGAGGGCACGGCCCAGTCATTCCCCCATGGGGACGGAACCTCAGCGTGGCCACGACCATTTATTGCCAGCTCACGAAGCTCACATCTATAAATACTAAGAGTGGAAGCCCTAGAAGGGGGGCTGCTTCTTCACCACTATTCACAAGAGAGAGAGAGAGAAGAGAAAAATATACCCATCTTATGGGAAGAGAAAACACCATTGTAAGGCTCTGAACCTCTTCATGGAGAGGCAGACCAAACCAATATTGTCAATAAAAGCTGTTAAGATTTCTTCTCCTAACCTTGAGTACTTAGTTTCATGTTCTTCGCTTGGTCCAATGAACTATTACGATTTGCTATGATTTTCCCGTAACTTATTTGTATTGTTTTGCACTCATAAAGCACACGATAACTTTTGAGCAAACACCTATCAAGGGTCATGTCCTCAGCAAACTCAAGACGCGTCATATCCTGCTTAATCACCTCTCCCAGTACTTCCTTGGCCTACCTCGACCTCTTCTCAAACCCGCCACGGTCAACCTCTCATATTTCCTGACAGGAGCATCAATGTTTCTCCTCTCTACCTGCCCAAACCATCTCAGCCTCGACTCCCGCATCTTGTCCTCCATGGAGGTTACTCCCACTTTGTCCCGAATAGCTTCATTCCTAATCTTATCTCTCCTGGTATACCCATTCATCCATTCTCCTGGTATACATGCAAATTCTTAAAATAATAAAGAATTAACCTAAAATAGTCGTCTACCTAATCGCTTAAACTATATATATATATATATATATATATATATATAATCTACATATATCGACTAAAAAGATACTTAATACGGCAAGTTATTTGTGTAAAGATTCCTAAACTAACTTACACATACTACAACAACAACAAATCTAGTATATTCCCACAAGTAGGGTCTAAATTACCTAGTGGAGGTAGAGAGGTTGTTTCCAATAAACCCTCGGCTTAGAAAGAGTGAGAAGAAGAAGAAGAAGAAGCAGAGAGAGAGAGAGAGAGAAAGGG